TATGATGCTGCTTGGCCTGCTGTGTTCATCCAGCTCTGCACCTTGTTGTCTCGGATTCTCCAGCATCTGCAGTTCCTACTATCTCTGATTTAATGTAGTTTGGTGTTTGTTGGCTAGCACAGACATGGTGCAAAGGACCTATTTCTATTCTGTATGGCTCTATGACACTACAACGGAGACAAACTCAATTGTTATTACTTGGCACATTTTTTAAAAAAAATCATCCATGGGACGTGGGCGTCACTGGCCAGTCAAGCTTTTATTTCTTATCCCTAGTTGTCATTGAGGTGAGCTGCCTTCTTGAACCACTGCAAGTCATTTGGTGTAAGTAGACTCACAATGTCACTAGGAGGAGATTTCCAGGATTTTGACCCAGTGACACTTAGGATCTGAGGTATATTTCCAAGTCAGAATGATGAGCACCTTGGAGGGGAACTTGCATGTGGTGCTTCCATCTATCTGTGGTTGTGATCTTTCTAGATGGTAATGTGTTTGGAAGGTGTTGCGGGCAAATCATCACGTTACCTTTAATTCAGCTACTTAAGAAATCTCACAGACGATCAAGTACTGAAATAATGATTTAAACTTTATTGCGTATAGCAACTAAAATAAGACCCCTCAAGTAGGCAAGTTAAGCCTTACCATTCAACTTGGCTATTACCTGATAAATGATAGAATTTAGCCAAAGTTCCACCAAGTGTCCTGGGTTTGGTCCTTGTGCAGTGTTGTTCTTTGAAGTTCTGCTACTGACTTGTTCTGGTGTTAGATTCGTATATAAAATTACCTCTTTCAAATTTCTAGTGTGATATTATTGATGATTCAATAGATTTTTTCAGCCTCAACATTGATCACACTTCTGAATACCTCAGGTCTGTAACTTGCCTTCTTATCAAAAGTAGCTCCCTGTTTCTTGTCACATTTGATGTTAGCTGTTTGTTTGAAACAGTTTTTCCTGCAATTAACCCTTTACTTCGGGACATTCCTTCTGCAGGCAGTCTTAATTGCTCATTTGTCAGGAGGCAGCAGTTTATCAAGCAGCGTTATCTCCTCGCTCCCACGAAACAGCTTGTTTAACGTTGTTTCTCCCCAGGAGTGGCTAATTTGCATGTTGTTTTTAATTTCTTTATAAAAGTCTCTCCTTGTCTCTTTCATCTCAAGAAAGAAATTATTCCAGAAAGAGTTATTGCTGATTATTTCAATCCATGATGTTGTTAAAGTTGCCAAGTTTACATTGTCAAAAAAGGTGCTGTCTTAGGAGCTTTGGGAAATTGCAGCAGTGCATCTGTAAACAGTACATACAGCTGATGCTGAGCATTGGTGGTGAAGGCACTGAATGGTTGTGAATGTGATGCCAATCAAGTGGGCAGCTTTGTCCAAGTGATATCCAGCTTCTTGAGCATTATTGGAATGCACCCACTCAGGCAAGTGGAGTGTATTCCATCACATTCCTAACCTGTGCCTTGTGAAGGGACTTTGAGGAATCAGGAGGGGAGTTATTAGCTGCAGTATTCTTGTCCTCTGACTTGCTGTTGCTTATTATTCCAGGACGTTTAATCAGTGTCATGGAGCCATATTTTGCTATTTTGCACACTTTCCACAAGGAAGCAATAAATTTTAACACAAACTAATTTACACTTTGCAGTCAGTTGTATCCTGTGGTCGCTTTACAAATATCACTGGGATTAAGTATGATTACTTTGGCATTAATAGGGAAGGCATTATTTAGAAACAAATACTAGGAATCAACCAATATACTGCCAACCAGAAGGGTCAGAAGTAAAAAGATGATCGAACAAGAAAAAGCTAAAGTTAGAATTGTGAATTAAAAGCTTGTAATCACAAGTCTTGTTACATATCAATGATCTCTTAGATATCACAAGGTGCTGGAACAACTGGGTAATAATGTTATGATTCATTCACAAATGGATTTGTTTTACACTTCAGATAGATGCTTTTTCCCCTGTTACTCATAACATATTAATATGCCAATGGTAAATCAATACTATTGCTAAGCACATGGGGGAACCCCCTCAGCAATACTGAACCTAACCACAGGAGAGAAAAATACTAACATAATTATGTAAATTTGAATTTAAGTATAAATATTTTGCTACTCAGTTGTATACTGTAACATGTGACAAATTAACTTTGTTAACGTATTAACTTCTAATGTATTTAAAATGCATAAACCTTTCCAATTGCTGATTTTATTGATGGTTAAAGTGGGTATAAATGAGAACTTCACTAATCTGTGCCTTGGTTTCCAGTAGGTCTTGGGACACGTAGGCGCCCAAAAGATATTACAATTCAATAGAATTTCAAATCTATGTAGAAGTAATGATGATGCGTTAAATATTTTCAAGTGAATGCATTAACATTTATAGATATGGATTTACACAAATAATTCAATGGGTTTGATGTTTAAGAAAGATGGTTACTGGTGTGGTTAATTATCAAAACACGAAAACTAGGAGCAGGAGTAGGCAATTCAGCCCCTCTGCCGTTTAATATGATCATGGCTGATCTTATCTTGGCCTTGACTCATGGCTAAAATACTTTCACACAAAAAACAATAAAACCACTATTTCCGAATGGGCACAAACCAAAATGGAAAATAAAATGGTTATTAGTACAAGAAACTCCTCATAAGTTGGACTTGTCAGCAGTACAACAATCATTTGACGAAATAAAACTGAATTAACAATATACACATTCCTGTAACTTGTATTATCAAAGATATAAAGGTATAAGATAAAATATTGGTAGTAATACAATGGTAGGGAGTGTCAGTTGATAGCACTCACCTCCTATTCTGAAGGACATGCTTTCAAAGACAGATTTGAAATAGTCTTCCAAGTTTATTTAAGTGTGGCACATTATCAGGTGAAGAAGTGTTAAATCAAGGTCCTGTTGGCCAACTCAACTGGCTTTGAAAGATTCTATAGCATTAAAGAAAACAAACCACATCTGGGCAGTATTTTTCATTCATCAACATCATCAAAATCTGATTATCTGGTCAATCATTTAGTTTTTGTTTGTAGGGTTTTGGCAAATCTCCAATTTCCCAGGGCTCCTAAGATAGCACCTTCTAAATCTAATACCATCTAGAAAGGCCACAACCGTTTCCATACCTGGAAGTTCTCCTACAAGGTGCTCAACATTCTGACTTGGAAATATGTTGCAGTTCCTATGTTTGTTTTATGTACAAGAGTGCATGGCTTTCAGTTTCCACCACCCTTTATGGCTATGACATAATTCTGTCACTACCTAATTTAAATCCCAAGTACCTTATTTTTCTTTAACAACACAATTGTCAAACCTGACCCCTACTTTTTGATGGCTGGAAAAGAACATTTTTGAAATTAACTTTTTTGACACCTATGAAAATCATAAGGCCTCAATCAAGTCCATCTCATTACCTTCTCAAGATAGTACATTTCTAGGATAGAAAAAAATCTTTTGCCAAATCAGCTTTCCTCATAAGATGGTTAAAGTGCTAACGAGAAGTTGAAATGGTTGAAAATGGGTTGGCTATACTGGGACCAACCCATTCAAGACAGGACTTATGGGTGTGTGAGAAGGGTAATGAACGTAGAGGAGGTTGTTCACTTTTCTGGAATTGTTAAACTCAATGTTGAGTCCTGAAGGCTGTAAAGTTCCTACAAAAAGTTCTAGCATATATAGTTTTTTTGCTTCTTTTTAAGGTGTACCAGACTGATTACTAGGATGTCTGGACTGACCTATGAAAACTGGGTTGGTTAGAACTACATTCACTTGAAAAATGAGGGAGAATCTCAGAAAACCATAACATTTTAACAGGACTAGAAAGGATAGCTGCAGGAAGGATATTCCTCATGACTAGGGGAGTCACAAATAGATACATGAGAAGACCATTTCAGACTTAAATGAGGATAAATTTCTTCAGCTAGAGAGAGTGGGGTGAGCTTGTGGTATTCACAGCCACAGAAAGCAGTTGAGGTCAAAACATTGAGTGTTTACAAGAAGGAGTTGGATATGGTTCTTAGGGCTAAAGGCATTAAAGGGCATGGGGAAAAAGCAGGAACAGGATTGGAGTTGAATGATCAGCCATATTTGTGTTAAATAGCAGAGCAAGCTCAAAAGGTAAAATGGCCGACTCTTGCTCCTATTTTTTATGTTTCAAAAGCTAGAACTGAACATTGTACTCCGGATGTAGTACAATGGGCCAAATGCAAATCAACGAAGTGATGTTGAAATTCTAAGGGACACCAGTGTACATATTGATATTCCTAATTATCGGTTTCAAAACATTCTAGCTTGTATCAGAAATATTAGCCTGTGTATAAGTTAAATTTCTGGTCACAATTTAAAAACAGCAATAAAACCAGTATAAACATTATTTAGCTGCTGCTAAGTCAAGCCTATGAGGTGGCTCTTGCATTTGAGACCTCTGTTGTGTTGGGACCATTACAGATTTTCTTTATTTTTCTCATTTCTGATTTTGAACTGTGAACTGAAGTTGAGAATTGAACTTTCAACAACAGCCTGTTTACAAAAAAAGGAAAGGACAAACAAACAAACAAACTTGAAGGTTGTTTATGGGAACTGACCTAGATCACTAATTACAGGTTGATTATCGTTCCAAGAATACTGCAGACATTTTAGCACCCGAGATGTATTGTGCTCAAGGACTGGCAGCTGCACAGATGCTAAAAGAGGCAACTAAAGACAGACTAATACTGATCAAACAAGGAGAATGTTGAAAAAGAAAGAAAAACTAAGGTCTGAACTGGTTTTGACTGTTTTTGTTTAGGCAATGTAGTTGTGAAAGCTGCTAGATGGAGTTTTGGTTGTTCTCTCCAGTTATCCCCAGTTGTCAAATGATTGAAAATTCTGAGAAAAGAATCCCAGTAAGTCATAAATAAAAGTCTCCAGCAGTCAATGGAAGCTGTTTATATATTGACTGGTGACGTTGGCATTCAAGATATACAGTACCACTTGCCTATGACAATTCATTATCCAAGGACTGTGTGAAGGATTAGCAACCATCACTTAAAACTACTTAAGTGAACTGGCCAGTTACAACTCTTATTTTTCTTTGAATTTATCCCTTAACTGTGTTTGTCTTGGGTTATGATCAAAGAAGACTGGGTTTAAGTTGTTGGCATTTAAACAACAAAGTAATTAATTACTTTGCTCTACTACAGTTACAATATTAATAATTTAAAAAATGTTAATTTTTATTTAAATTGCAAGCTTGGTGCCTGATGTCTGCTACTCAAAGCCTGGTTAGGACCAATCGGACATTTCAGTGTCATTGAATCATCTATTTATTGTCATGTGTGTTCAATATAAAATAAAGTGAAAAGTGAGTACTGTTGCCACACGTGTGCATCATTTACATTAAAATAAAATTTAAAAAAAAACTTAAAGAGATAGTCTAGTTTTTCCTTCTCGGTGCTACAGTCCCACTCCAGGATACACCAGCCCACTCCGTGCTGCTGCCAGAGTACCGTTTCAGGGTTATGCCAGCCCATGCCATGCTGCTGCCAGGGTCCCACTCCACATGGAAGCGAGATTCCCACCTCAGGCTTCCCAGGGCAGCCGACTCTGTAGCCATGCTGCCTCTAAAGACCCCAGCTTGGAGCCCCTCGAAGCCGCCTTCCTACCAAAGAGCTCTCCTTATCAGTTAAGTTTGAGCAAAAACTAAGTAAAACTGAGAAAGGGGGAAGGGAAAGAAAAAGAAAAGAGAAAAAAGACAAAAGCAGAAGAAGAGGGCAAGCCTGGACAGAGGAGCCCGGGCGCTGCCTACTTCACTGTTGCCTTCTTAAATATTTTAATTTCACATTGTTGTGTTATCCAATGTTAGCAAGTCTCATTTGATCTGGTTTACTATCCGTGTTTCATAACAGTTGCTTGTTTTTTCACTTATTCTCTTCACTTAAGGGACTCAAGTCATCTAAGATATTTCAGATTATGAACCGCACTACGATCATTGTTGATGAAGATCCATGATCATTTGGTAAAAACCTCCTTTAAGATTATTTTTCTTTTCCATTTGAGATATTGTGGTCTAACCTAAGATTTAGTGAAACATTTTGGCTTCTTCACTGTTACGATTCACTATGCCATCCGGCAGCAAAAATGGGGACACTGTGGCATCACTGAGAAAGTCTGCTGCATTTTCCTTGCTTTCTTCTTCCCAACATGCACAACAAAAGAGTACTGCGTTATTCTGGTGGTTCACTTTAGAATTAATAGTCCACTAACGTAATGTGCCAAAGTGAATGAAAGTTGAGGGTGTGATCTTGACTGGTTGGGTTAGAATTCCAGTATTCCATGGCTAAAGCAACTAAGGCAGCACTAAACTAATTTTATGCTTTCCTATCATACACCAATTAAGCAAATGTAAACAGATAAGCTTGCAACTAGAACATACAAGAACTTGCAGTCTAAAATCCAATTAAAATTTCTAGAAAAATTTGACTTATTTATTTAAACATTACTATATTCTTTTTTACTTATGTATTACCATGGGATGTGCGCTGGTCGCAGCTGCTGAACTTGGTCTTTGTTCCGTTTCTTGATGTCGCAATAGGGCTCGGAGCTCATTAACTGTATCAAAAAGATGTTATTATCTAACATGGTTCCATTTTAACAGCATTGCTATTGAACACACATGTAGTTTGCACACTAAAAGAAAACAAATGGACATATATTCACAACCAGTTAAACGCAGTATCAGCCTGAATAATGGCAAACATAAAATTGATGATCTAACAGGGTTCTTGCCATTGATGGCATTACCAATATAAATTAGGTGATTTTAAGTCACAGTGTAAGCAAAGATAAAAAAATAACATTTGGCCCACAATTAAAACAATTCTAGTTATCAGGACAGGAATCGTCTGCAAAGTTGGGTAGCTGGCAAGACATTATGATTTTATCTAAAGCAAAATGCTGTGCATGTTAGAAATATGAAAAATAAAGACAGTGCTGGAAGTACTCAGCAGGCCGGGCAGTATGCAGAAAGATAAGCAGTTAACATTTCAGATCAAATGAATTTTCAGCGAAGGTGACAGATCTGAAAGATTAACTCTGGCACAGATTTTCTAGTCTCGGAAAGTTGGAGATCAGAGATTAAACAGATGCATATTAGGACCATGAGAAAGTCCTGATACACTGACTCAATGAGAATTGCACGTAAAGTTTGAACCTCTATAAAGGAATTCCACTGATTTCCAGGAACCTCTGAAAAATTCTCCAACTCTGTATTGTTGACAGAATTTCTGACAGTTCTGATTTACTAACCCAAGTCATTACTTGGAACACATTAGATAGAAAATTTCCCAGCGCAAATACTTGGTTACAACTGCACACTACACTTCCAGCATCCACAACAATCTCGATTCCCCTGACCTGTCAACTACCTCCACAATACTTCAGCTCCTCCTTGAAATCTCACTCTCACAGTCCCTTGACTCCTCACCCAAGTTTCCCTGAACCACTACCAACTCTCCAGAAACCACCTTTCGAACTAACTCCAACAGATGACTCAGCCCCGAATTTCTGATTCACCCCCCCATCTGCCTCCAATACAACCCATGTCACCAATCTGCCACCCTTACCCACTTAGCTCAATAAGCCCTACCTCCATACCCCACCCACATTAGTAATTATTCAACTACACATCCATGTATTACTCAGCCATATGTATGCACTAACACACTGAAAAGCTGTGAACAGATTTTACAGAGATATCCAAAAATCAGGATGGACCCAGACAAATGTAAATAGAGAGTGTTATGATTCCGGCTTATGCTAACACAAGACAAGTCAGATCCTACAGTGAAAGGCGGCTTATTGGACCCTAACTTTAGGGTCACATACATTTCAAATATTGTAAACATGTTTATTGTTATGATCCCAACTGATGTTAACACTGGACAAATCAAATCTTATTAACCATATTTTGATATTTCTTTTTGTTTACTGTAGTGGTCAGTTACTCAACACATTCACATACTGTTAGGCACAGAAGATTGTAGCTACTATCTGTTACAATCTACCCCGAAAACATGAAATTCAGTCTACAAAAACACCAGGTAGACAATAATTTTAAAAAAGAGTAAAGCTTCAATCTCAAAAGCTAAAAGCTTGAATCCATACGAGAGTAATTAAACAAACAGAGTACTCCACATTGTTCAAACTCAACATTTTTACAATAGGCGTACTAAAGATGAGAGTCTTTAACAACCATGACGTCTGTGCTGATGCCGATATCCTCGTATATAAAGGCAATCATCCTTCCAACTCTTCTATATGAGCCTGATACTCGGACTATGTATAGACACCACCTGAAGGTCTTTGAAAAGTACCATCATGGTTGTTTGAGACCAATTTTCTGCATCAGCTGGAGAGTACAGACAAACTAACATCAGCATCCTCGAAGCAGCCAACAACACCAGCATCAAAGTCACAATCATCTGAAACTAACTCCGCTGGGCTGGCCAAGTGCTTCAGATGCCTGACGTCCGACTGCCAAAGTAAATCTTCTTCGCCCAGCTCAAGGAAGGCACTCAAAAGGAGAGGAAGACCAAGGAAGCATTTCAAAGTCTCCCTGAAGGCATCCTTTAAAAAAAATTGCAACATAGATGTCAACGCATAGGAGACCATTATTCAGATAAACAGTCTTGGGGGAAGTAAATGTATGAAAGAATACAATTCTTTGAGAACACTCATTGGCAGGCAGAAGTGGAGTAAAAGAACCAGAGAGAAAAATGCCAGCAACTTCAATGCGAAGGACCAATTCCACCTTCAGAGACACCTGCCAAATGTACGGTCAGAAATGCGGATCTAGGATCAGCTCATCAGCCATGCAATGATCCACAGAACCAATGATCAGTGACACGGAATTTCCTATGCAGGCAATCACACTCATTAGCAAGTGATTGCCAACGATTACAAAAAGACAGCTCTTCCTTGAGGCCTTTTGTTGCTTGGTTGATGCTTTGTAATAGAAATTTGAAATAATAAATTATTTATTAAGAGCTTCTATCTCACTGAAGTGGTTTCAGGTCAATCTACATTCAACAACTTGCTCTGAAAGATCTGATCACATTTTGTCAACTGTAACACATTCCATCATAGAATTTGAAACAATCGACAGCACTCTAAATAAAAACAACCCACAGTCTTTAAATAAAAAGGTCAATTCATCCAAACTCCCAATATTCATGGCATAGCAAATTTTGGGTCCAGGTTTTGAGCAGCATCTTTGGCAAAAATTAATCTGTTTTTCCTTGGGCCATACAATATGTGCCAAGTTTTGTTGACATTCATTGATTAGCTGTTGAGATATACTGTTCACAAAAAGACTAACAAACCAGAGGCAAAACCATAACCTTTACCGCCTTCAGTGACAGAGGTAATAAACATTAATCAGTGATCACCTGCATGACTGTGCTTTAGTTCTTGCCATGCCACTGGACTGTGACACTGTCTCCTCTCTGAGGGACTTACTGAATTTGTCTGGACAGTGTCAGCTAGTGAAGATGGTTCTGACGATTCTGCTTGATTTTTTTCTTCTAGAGTACACTTCAATTTCTGGATGCTTTCATTAGCCCTTTCTGCAATCAAAAATAGAAAAACAGTAATACAAGAATGGCAGAATGAACCCAATTTGGAATGCAGACATTTTTATGATCACTTACATTTACAAATAAATAAAATATGCTGTCAGGTGTAGAAGGACCTTACCCTTGTCGGTAATCTTCATATCATGCAGGGCACATAAATTCAATGAAAAGTTTGAGGTAGAAACAAAACAGGTTAACTGGTAGCAAGTAACAGTCGATAACAACTTACCTCATGACATTGTCAAGACACTAAGAATGACAAAACAGTCAAATTCTAATCTTCAGTCAAACAACACATTCATATGTCACTTTTAAAAAACAAGATAAGACACCTCATGGTGCTTCACAGGAGATTTTGAAGCAAATGACCAAGGTTGGCTAAATAGGTAGCATTTAATGAATGTCATAACAGGCAGAAAGAGAGAGAGACAAGTGGGAAGGTGTAGGGAGGGAATTCCAGAGCTTAATATTTTGGCAGTTGAAGACATGACCACCAAATTGTGGTGTAATAAAAATGGGGAAATGCTTAAAAGGGCAAAAATAGATGGGCAGAGATATCCCAGAGGTTTGTGATGGAAAGAATTGCAGTGATTGGGAGCATTGTGGCCATAGGAAAGTTTTGAAAGCAAAAATAAGAATTTTTGTCAATGAGTTGTGAACCTGGGGAGCAGGTGTAGGTCAGCAAGCAGACAGGTGATGGGTGAATAGGATTAGGTGCAGAAAAGGATAGTTTTGGAATGACCTCAGGTTTACAATGTAGAACATGGAGGCTGGCCACAGCTGCACTAGAATATTCAAGTTTAGAAGAACTGCGCAAGGTTTTCAGCAGCAAGGGACCTGTGGAAGAAGTGGAGCTGGGTAATCTAACAGAGGTGGAAATAGACAGCCTTAGTGATGACACAGAGAAGGGGTAGTAAATCACAATGTTAAAAATGACAGCACAAATGCACAGCAGGGTTCAGTCTCAGAAGGTTGAGAGTAAGAGGGATAGAAGGGAGTGGAATTTGTAGCATAGACTTATACTTTCTCCAACAGTTAAATCGGAAGAAGTTTCTGCTCATCCAATTCTCAACATTGGACAAGCAGCCTGACAAGTCGTGGTGCCAATCATTAACACTGCATACCAACTATTCATTTTGGGGGTACAATTAATTTGCTACTATTAGAATGAAGGACATGGGGGAGGGGTTGATGTACAAAAGGGCAGACTTGAAGGTGCACCAAATTATGAGAACAGTGCACACGAAGTCACAGAGATTTGGACTACAGAAAACAAGTAGGAAGATAGATAAGGCAAGGTCATGAAAGAGTTTAAGCAAAATCGAATGAATGTTAGATCTGAGGTATTGTGAACCATGAGCTGCTGAAGGCCAATGGAAACAGGAAAGGGAGCTGGTATACGATAGGATGTATGCATAATTTTCAATAAGATGAAATTTATATGAAGAATGGGAACTCAATCGGGGCAGTAAAGGAATCAAAAACTCAAAAATTACAAAAAGTGCGAGGAAGATTTAAATCTGCAAACAGGTGAAATATGGCAGGGCAATGATATGAAAGTGGTCTTTCTAAACTGGTCTCAGTTTAAACTTGGATCAAACGGGATGCCTAAAGTGCAGGTATATTGGTATATTGTAAGTATAAGCATGAAACAATATTCAAAGCTTGTAATGAAATGAAAACCCTCAGTAAATAAAGCTGTGCACATGGGAGGAGGAAGTCACAAAGATTCATGCACAGATTAAGCAGGTGAGCAAAACTGTGGCACTTATTTAAAATTGCAATAACAATTGCAATAAGGGGACAGAATTTTATCATTAGAGCTGACATTTGAAATAAAAATCAGGAAACACTTTACTCAAGTGTAAACGTGGAATGCTCTCCCTTAATTGTTGTGTATACTGGTACAATATTATAAATAGGTATTTTAATATGGGATACAAATAAAATGGTTTATGGCTTGGATTTATTACTGTTACATGTACCTACGTACAGTGAAAAGTTTTGTTTTGCGTGCAGCACATATCATACCACACAAAGTCCATAGGGGGAATAGCACAGGCTGAGGAATATAATATTATGGCTGCAGAGAGGTGCACAAAAAGGAAGATCAATGTTAGATTGGGCTTGCGTGATAGACTGGGCTGTGTTCGCACTTGCCGCAGTTTCTTATGGTCCTGGCCAGAGCAGTTGCCACACTAAGCCATGATGCATCCGGTTGGAATACTTTCTATGCTGTATCTATAAAAGTTGGTACAGTCCTTATGGACATGCCACATTTCCTTTGCCTCTACCTCCTCAGGTGGCTTTTTTGTGCCTTCTTGACCATCGCATCTATGTAGGTGGTCCAGGACAGATTGTTAGTGATTGTCACTCCTAGGAACCTGACACGCTTGACCATCTCCACCTCAGCTCCATTAATGTAGATAGGAGTATGCCCTCCACCTCACTATCTAAAATCACTGACCAGCTCTTTAGTTTTTCTGACATTGAGGGAAAGATTGTTCTCTTTATACCTCACCACCAAGCACTCTCTCTCTTTCCTGTATTCTGTCTCATCATTGTTTGGGATCTAGTCTACAATGGTGGCGTCTTCAGCAAACATGTAGATGGAGTTAAGAGGAAATTTGGTGACACAGTCATGAGTGTACAGGGAATACAGTAAGGGGCTGAGTACACAGCCTTGCGGGGTGCTGGTATTGAGGATTGTCATGGACGCGGCGCTGTTGCCTATCCTCACTAATTATACACTGTGGGTCAGGAAGTTCAGGATCCTGTTGCAGAGGGTGGAGCAGAGACCAAGGTCTCAGAGTTGAGATTAATTTGGTTGGAATTATAGTGTTGAAGGCAAAGCTGTAGACAATAAGTAGAAGCCTGACGTAGGTGTCCTTGTTATCCGAATGTTCCAAGGATGAGTGCAGGGCCATGGAGATGCTGTCTGCCATCTGTTGAGACAGTAGGTGAATCGCAAGGGGTCAAGGCAGGCTGGGAGGCTAGAGTTGACATGAGCCATGACTAACCTCTTGAAGCGCTTCATAATTATGGAGGTCAGAGCCACCACGTGGTAGTCATTGAGGCATGTTAAATGGTCTTTTTTGGTGCTGGAATGATGGTGGTCTTCTTGATACAAGTGGGGACTTCAGATTGTAGTAAGGAGAGATTAAAGATGTCAGTGAACACTCTAGCCAGCTGGTCTGCACAGGCTCTGAGTGCATGGCTGAGGACTCCATCTGGGCCAGTCACTTTGTGGGTTCGCTCTCCAAAAGGCCAATGTGAAATCTGCAGTGTTACTGATGAAACAGGTGCATCTGAGGCTGTTGGATTAGGTGACACCGTTTTGCAGAGGCTCTGTTTGAACCGAGCGTAAAATGTATTGAGCACATCAGGGAGGGATGTATTTTTGTCCGTTCTTCTGTTATGTCATGTAGGCCTTGCCAGAAATGACAGGTACGCATGTGGTTAGTTTGGCTCTCCAACTTAGTCTGGTATTACTTCTTGGCATCTCTAATGGCCCTACAGAGGTCATATCTGAATTTCCTGTGAAGATCAGGGCCGTCTGACTTGAACAGCACATACCTGGTCTTTAGTAGGCAATGGATTTCCTGGTTCACCCATGGTTTCTGGTTGGGGAACATATGGATTGACTTCTTTGGCATACAGTCCTCTACACACTTGCTAATGAAGTCCATGACGGTAGCGGCATACTCACCTGGGGGCTGGCCGCTGGAGTTCTTGAATATGGACCAGTCCACCAATTCCAAGCAGTCCCACAGAAGCTCTTCTGCTGCCTCGGACCAACACTGTGCTACTTTCTGTACTGGGTCCTCATGTTTCAACTTCTGCTTGAAAGCCAGGAAGTGGGACACAGTGTTGTGATCTGATTTTCCAAAGTGCAGACAGGGTATAGAGCAGTAAGCACCTTTGATGGCTGTGTCGCAATGGTCACGGATATTTGGCCCCCTGGTGGGGCAGAAGACACGTTGATGGTATTTTGGTAGCACCCGCAAGGTTGGCCTCATTAAAGTCACTGACTACAACCGAATTGGGCCTCGGGGTATTCCATGGGTAATAAGGTGGGTAAATGGAGTTGAGGTGATTAGCGGAAAACATTGAGGACTTGAATGCTTATTATTGTGTTACTTTGTCACAGCACCAAATTTTAACGACAAAAAAAAAAATGCAACTCACCAAGGCTGGACAGCTGAGCAGTCTGGCAATGCAGAACAGTGATTGAGGGCTAGTTGAAAAGGTACAGCCAGGAGATGGCAGCTGAGTAAGTTCTCCGTATGTGTATTTGGAGAAAAAGATGGTGGAAGCAGGGACAGGAGTTTTTGAAGGTAGAAAGGGAGTAATAACTATGGGCAGAGGAGATGCAATAGCACCTGATGTGGTCCAGGTCTGCATTCATTGGATGTTAGAAGAATGACACTGGACTTTATTGAAACATAGGAAGCTTGACAGTGTAGATGCTGTGAAGTTGTTGCCCCTTGTGGGAGAGTCTAGGACCAAAGGACATAATCCGATGGAAAGGGAGCATCCATTTAAAACAAAGCTAAGGAGAAATTTCTTCTCTCGGATGATTTTTTTTTAAAAACCAATTCACTGGTTCGCTATGGCGAGGAGGTGCTGGTGTTGGACTGGGGTGGACAAAGTCAGAAGTCACATGACACCAGGTTATAGTCCAACAGGTTTATTTGAAATTAAGTCTCTTCACCTGACAAAGGAGCAATACTCTGAAAGCCTGGAGATTTCAAATAAACCTGTTGGACTATAACCTAATATTCTGACTTCTGACTTTATTTGTACCATAGACGGCTGTAGAGGTTTGCTTGTTACACATGTTCAGGGCAAGAAATAGATCATAATTAGTAATTTGTAATCAATAGTTATGGGGACAAGGCAAGAAAGTAGAATTGAAGATTATCAAATCAGCTATTTTCCCACCAAATAATACAGCAGACTCAATGGATGAATGGCTAACTTTTGTGCCTACATCTTATGGTTTTAGTGGTCTGTGTTTGGATGAGAAAACCTGTTGTGTTATGCATAAAGGACCATAAAGCAGATGAACAAAAATTTTTTTTTGGTATACATCTAATTTCCTTCTGAAAATTACAATTGAATCTGCTTTTATTCTGCCTTCATGTTTAACTATAAGTCATATGACATAGGAGCAGAATTAGGCCATTCAGCTCATCAAGTCTGCTCCGCCATTCATGGTTGAGATGTAATTTGCTATGACCTGGAATGAACTGAGATGAGGAGGAATTTCTTCAGCCAGAGGGTGGTTAGTCTGTGGAAGTCATTGCTGCAGCAGGCCAAGTTATAGAGAGTATTTAAGACAAAGATAGATTGGTTCTTGATTGATGTGGAGATCAAAGGTTATGGGAGAAGGCAGGAGAATGGTGTTGAGGAACATCTCAGCCATGACTGAATGGCAGAACAGAATTAATGAGCTGAATGGCCTAATTCTGCTCCTCCGTTTTATAGCTTATAATTAAACATGAAAGCAGAACAAAAGCAGATTCAACTGTAACTTTCAGAAGAAAATTGGATGTATACCAAAAAAAGTGTATAAGAACAGAACTAATTACACAAGCATGGTGGACTGCATGATCCACTTCTGCACTGTATGTACCCTTCACCCTTAGGAAACAGTTATTAGTTCACATTGGGAGATGAACTAAGGTATGGAATACCAATGGTTTTACTCAGGTACCAGCACGAATACTGAGCTCCGGTTAAAGAAATTGTGGATATGTAAGCATTATGGCGAACGGAGAGCCAAGGGCTAGACAATTGGAATGGAGAAAATGCAGTTGTGAGCAACGTAGGGTGCATGTTTCTTTTCCGCCCCAGGAGCAGATATGTAAATAATTGGAATTGAAAAAGCAGATAGAAGGAGTAGAGGCTGAACAATGAGGGACAGGAGAGGCCATCAACAATGGCAAAATCAAAATGGGAGTTGTAAATGAGGGTGGGAGTGCATTCTGGACAGGGCATTCCTGGGTTGACAAAATCGTGTGATGATCAGCTGGTTCCGGTATCACATTAATAGAAATTGTTTTAAGTTCATACATTTTCAAAATGTACATATTTATTTTTCGTAACTCCACTACCACTGTAGATTCGCCCAATGGCTCAAATGAAATCAAGTCGACATACGTTTCACTGCAAATGACAATCTGTCATCGTTGCATGGCGAATCTCAGGAGTACTGAACGTGATTCACAAATCTTTATAAAAATTTTCTGAAAAAGGGTCCCGACCCGAAACGTCAGCTTTTCTGCTCCCCTGATGCTGCCTGGCCTGCTGTGTTCCTCCAGCTCCACACTGTGTTCTATCAGACTCCAGCATCGGCAGTTCTTACAATCACAAATCTGTTTTTTTTTTATATTCGTATTTTGTAAGCAAACAGAAAAGGAGGGCAAAACAGTTGTTCCTCATAATTGCAGTGCTTTTAATTTAAGCACTCTTCAAAATCCACATGCCAGTATATTTCTCATCGGAGTCCATGGGGCGTTTGCCCTCCCAAACAACATGCAATTTCAGCAGTTCCAGAAAATTCACCAAACTTTCATCTCTACACAGTTAACAATTTGATGCGATGTGAGTACACAGGAGCTGTTTCTTCGAACGTACAACTTATCAACAAATACAGATGTTGCAACAAGCCTTGGTGACCAACCTCGGCCTTGCTTATCCGTGCCTTTAACTGACAGCTGTCTCCTATAAACGAGCCTGCCCCTTCGACTCGGTCATTCGCTTACCTCTTAAACCTTTCAGATACGTCTCCAAATCGTCCTCGATGTTCGACTCGCAGGAGGCCTTCATGTTGTCCGATCATACAGCGAAAGGTTAAAAGTACCTCTCGATAAAAAAAAACAACGTTGACAGCAAAACAAAAAGGTTGCTAATTGAAAACGCTCCGCACGGCTTTGGTTAAACTCCAGCGCCGCTGAAAGGACACTGCCCCTGAACCAATCAGCACCGGATTCAAATTAAACTTTGGGCTTCCTTTCACCATAGAGACATCAGGTTCAGCGAAGGAGGCGTCTCCTCAGAGAATGCTGGAGTCTGTATTTCTACGTGAGAGTCAATGATGTCTGCGGGAACGGAGCTTTGGACGGTTGACAGGATAGCTGCCGCAAGCCAAAGGAAATACAATTCCCAGAAATGCTTGCGGGACAGTTTGTGGGAGAATCCGGGTACCTGCCTTTATTTTTTCCCGCCCTTCCATTAATTCCAGAGATCCACACTTTAGATCCCACCCTGTGGATGCCCCCGACAGCCGCGGTTGGCGCGGTGACGGCATGCCCGCGGTTGCGATTGGTCAAGAACTCCTTCAATCATGAGGGGGTGTTAGCTCCGCCTAGATGGAGCTTGAGGCTTTTGGACGGTGTCCACGGCCTGTGGCGCTCTGCGCATGCCTCAAACAATCTTCCCTCCCCCCAGCGCCTGCCCGTCCATTCTGCTCGAGCGGCCGCTATGTGGAATAACGTTATTGCCGAGCAACGGGCGGGTTGCTGATGTTTGTCTGAGCCTAGGCAGGGCAGTTGCACTGCTAGGGTGAGTATGCTACACGGAAATGCCGAGGCGATAAAGGCTACCGATTTATGCGCTCCCGTCATGGGGGAGGGAGGAAGGGGAGGATCGATTTTAGTATTTTGAAGTTGAAATGGAATAACGGTTCAAGGGATTGTGTATAAAATGCCGCTGGGTGGGGGAGGGGCGTCTCATGTAGAAGCGACCATCCTGCAATCGCCACCTGACAGGTCGCGGTCAGTGGACTTTTTCATGGGCTACTTCTTTCAAGTTATTATTTTGGATTGTCGACATTCCCACCGTTTTTCATTGAAACGAATGGCAGCAGAAAGCGAGAAGGCGATTTGAGGTTCAAATGGCTATCCGTTACTTTATTTTACTCATTTGGCTCCTCTATCAACCTTTTACTAACATCCTCTTTCCTCCTCCTTCCTTCCCAACTGTGCTCCTCGTTCCTTACTGTAACCTATTCATACTATCTGTCCGAATTTAGTGTAAACGCCATGCCGAGATTTAATGTTCTTTTGCATTTCACTCCTCCCCTTAATTTAACGGATTTTAATCAAGATTTTGTTTTTCTTTTTAAAAAAAAACGCTTTCTAATTAACATGTCAATGGATCCAAATGCATAGTACCCAACCGGTGAACGATCATGTCGATGCATTTTTTTCATGTTTCTTTTTGTTACCTCGAACAAAGGAAGCTTTGGGTTACACCACGGAATTTCATCCGAAGGTCTGCATCATTTTTTTTGTCGATCATTTGAGATATTGAATACCCGTAGAAATTCCCTTGTTTTTGGTGAAGCCGACGCGTCTTAATCATTTAACCAATTCCACTCTGATTGTTAAAAAAATCCAGTAATGCAGAAGTAGCATAGCTGGATAGGGACTATTAGCAAATTTCTGGCAGACTGCCAGTGTAATGGGGGCATGGCAAGTCTTGTGGAACAGACTAACCATCACTTCTCATTTTGAAACGTAATTATTAGATTGTATTAAATTATTGGCCTTTTTATGTTGAAAATACACCGAAAAGTATAACACTGCATTAGAAGCCCAGTAAATTCATTTTATAAAATTCTTCAGAAACGTTTCACAGGAAATGTTTCCTCTTCCTGTACATTCCCGCTAAGGGAATAGGGTCACATGAAACTGGCTGGAGTGTTTCCTTTTCGGCTTTCATTTCAGCAATGTGTTCCTTTCCTGTGTGCTTTATATCGAGAGACTTTTCAAGTAGGTTGAGTCCCATTCGTTTCAGTAAGACGTGTTTTTTAGTATTTTTGATAGTGAACCAATGCGTTATTTTGTGGCCTTTTCAAAGGACGGAGCAAGAAGGACACCTTTATTTTATTAACCATAATAAAATGGAAGTGGCCATGCTGAAACTTATTTCAGTGTTGGTTTTTTTTGTGATAAATCTTAACTTGGAACATTATTATGACTTCTTTCTGCAGCATAAGTAAGACAGACCGTGGAAATTGAAAACTATATGGTCTCACCTGTATATGTATCAAAAAGCTGTACGGGAACACAAATAGCCTGAACTGTAATGGACTAATCAATTGAGGACAATCAACTGAGTCTTAAGTAAAAATTTGTCCAGTTTGAATTTTGTGAATCTGGAAGTCTAGCAGAACTTCTAAATTAAAATACCTCATTCTGTTTTTATCTGTAACTTAAAGATGTTCCCAAATTAATAGTACCGTTGATTGAAATGTGATTTTCTCAATTAGATACTTGCCTAGCCCCCTTCTTGTAACCTATGGAATCCGCCTCCACCACTCTTCAAGTAGCACACTCCAAATTCTAATAACTGAATGAAGAAGTTTTTCCTTGCCTCAGTCCCAGCTCTCTTGCTGGCAATCTTGAAATTTTGACCTCTATTTACTGAACTTTTGCATTATAGACTAAAGTTTGTGCTAATTGTCCTTCTTTCTAGCTCAATCTTTTTTGCTTTTTGTATTTTAATACTTTTTAACAGATTCTTAGTTAAACTGAAAACTGTATCTACTATTCCCCTTTTATAAGCCTGATTTTTGTAATTTGTTTCAATTTTTATTTTGAAACCTAAAGAAAACAGAAAAGGGCCACACAGAATGGCTAGAATCAGTGGAAAGAATGAGAAACAAGACAATTTAATGTAAACTTTGGACCAGGAGTCCATGGTTGACTGTCTTTCAGGAGTGACATTTAAACATTAGTGCATCTGCTTGTTCAGGTGGATATAAAAGATCCCATGACATCTTTTCAAGGAAGAAAAGAGGAGTTATCCCTGATGCTCTCTGGCCAATGTTTATCTGTCAGTAGCCAAAACAACTTCTTCAGTCATTATCATGTTTGTGGGAGCTTGTGTGTGCATTGGCTGATGGGTTTTCTACCTTTACAATATGACTGCACTTCAGAAATACTTGATTGACTGCGATAGTGGTGTTATCGATGGACTGTTAATCCAGAGACCCAGATAATGTTCTGGGGACCTGGGTTCGAATCCAGCCATGGTGGAATTTGAATTCAATTTTTAAAAAAAAAAAAAGTATCTGGAATTAAGAGTCTAATGATGACCATGAATCCATTGTTGATTGTTGGAAAAACCCATTCGGTTCACTAATTTCCTATAGGGAAGGAAAATGCCATCCTTACCTGGTCTGGCCTACATATGACTCCAGACCCATGGCAATGTGGTTGACTGTTAACCGCCCTCTGGGCAATTAGGGATGCTGCCTAATAAATGCTGCCTAGCCAGCAGTGCCCTCGTCCCATGAATAAAGGAAAAAAAAAAATTGCAAGATGATTTTTTTTTTGTTTGACTGGGTTCTAGAGTTGTTTATGTTTAAGAGGGACAGAAGTTTGGATCTGAAATTTACAAAGAGCACAGGATCTGAAATCCATAGGGAGAGCATTGAGGTGGTGGCTCAGTGGTTAGCGCTGCTGCCTGTCAGTGACAGGGACCTGGGTTCGATCCCACCCTCGAGCAACTGTCTATGTGGATTTCTTCCAGGTGCTCAGGTTTCCTCCCACAGTCCAAAGATGTGCAGGCTAGGTGGATTGACCATGCTAAATTGCCCGTAATTTTCAGGGATGTGTAGATTAGATGGGTTATAGAGGGATGGGTCTGGATGGGATGCTCTGAGGGTCGGTGTGGACTTGTTGGGCTGAACGGCCATACTGTAGAGATTCAGTGATGTTCTTTCACGATTCTATGATGATTTGAATGAGGATTTAAGTGTTGAAAAGATTGAGTCTCTATGTAATATAAGTTTTATTAACCTGGCTGTGAGCATTCTGAGGTTCCTTAACATCTGTCTGAATGTTATGCATGTGATGTGTTTGTTTCTTCAATTAAGAGTTTTTTTTTTAATCTCAAAATATTCAAAAGCTTTGGGGTTTCTTCCCTCAGGAACAAATCAGTTTCTATTTATGTACTGTTTCAGGGGGAAAAAGGAGATTTTAATGAGTTGAAAAACTGATTTTTGAGTGTTGTTTCTTTGTTCAGATGAATGTACAGACTTATCCAGAATTTTGTCAGTGCCACTTTTGTAAGGGAGTGCACGGTGGAAATTTGTTTCTAATTGGATGCCAAGGACAAGGAGAATGTCATTTGCAACTTTTCTAAATCATGGGAAAGTTATGATTTCTAAAAGTAAATACAATTTCTTGACCAGACTGATATGTACAAAAATCTGAAAATGGAAAAAAGAAAATTCTGGAAATACTCAGTGTGGCAAGTTAAGAGGAAAACAGAGTTAATATTTTGGGTTGATTACCTTTCATAGAATGTTAAATTAAGGTCCTGAAGAAAACAGATCTGAAACTTTAATTCTGTAACTGTCCTCACAGATGCAGTGAGAGCTGCCTATGAACGTGCATTGCTCAGGCAGTTTATTTCGGATTCTGAATTAAGTGGATTTCATTAAACATTACAGTAATCAATTGGCATGCTCAAGACCAATAACTTTAAAATAAAATTTTATTTTCCACTTAATAGCTGAATAAATGCTGTATGAAGATTTCACATTTCAAGAGTTTGCTAAACGAATGACTAAAAACATGATTAACTAAACACCACCTTTTTATATTGTACCAAACTTAAGCTTGACTTCACCCGAAGCCTGAACTCTAACCTTTTCTGTAACCACAGAACAGAAGATTTCTATCACTTTGCACTCCCCATGCATTGCAGTCTTTATGGAAAATGGGTCACTGTTGTTCTGGAAAACGGGTCACTGTTGTTCTGAACTTCCAATGAAGTTGCATTTCCCCACTTTGCAAAGTTGTAACTTTTGAGTGCACTCACAGGTGCATTCTTTAGTTTTTGGACTGTTTCCTGAATCAGTTGTAGTAGTAAGGCCTATCTCAATGATTCCTATCATCTGTCTATACAAGGACGAATATGCAGGAATCCTTAGATGGCCATAGCGTGCGTTTCTTTGACTAATTAGTATACTTTTGTGGATTCGAAGCCCCCCACCTGTGTATTAGAAAGTCATTTTTAACTTGTGGCAATAACTGGAACATGCATGTTTGCAGTATATTTGCAAATAAATTTCCTAGCAAATCCATTCGGAAATGTTGCAGGACTTTCAACTTCACAGTTTTGTACTGTTGTAATATCCCTTTCTTTGCAATGAAACCACTTTGAAGTACAGGCAGCAGGGTCAAATTTTCCATCAGTTATTGAAAGCCAGCTTAAAACCACTGTCATATTAAACGAAACAGGACCAGCACATCATGTCATTTAAATGAAGAGTAAAATTCAATGAACCATACGTTACTAGTTTCACGTATATTTACTTAAATAGTTTCTGAATTTCTCAGCCCCATCTACCTGCTTGGGTAGATAGACAAAATCCAATGTCACTTCTTGAAGAGCAATGCTCTTATCTCCTATGTCTTTAACAATATTTATCCCTCAATCAGCATTGCAGGAAAACAGGTTATCAGGTTATTATCACACTGCTGTTTTAAAGGACTTTGCTGAGCACAAAATAGTTGCCATGTTTCCTACATTACAGCTCTGTGTGT